GCATGTCACTCAGGGTCATGATAATATTAGCTACTATTATTACTACTGTTATTATGCTGCCTGTGTATCTCCTTCACCTCCTTTCTCCATCTTTTTATACCCTAACTACATACTAACATTGCTTGGTTATATAAAACCACCCAGACTAATTTTACTTAATACAAACAGAACAAAGTACATATTAGTATTTCGATTTCCTAGGTAAAGAAAGAGTACAGAGAAGTTAAGTAATGTGCCCCAAATCACATAACTTTTAAGTGCCAGAGCCGAGGTCTAAGTGCAGGACCATGCGATTCTCTGGCTGACAGGGGCAAAGTTGAGAGCAGTGTTATTGCACGGAGGGAGGAGGCAGTATCTAGTCACGTCCTTCTCTCAGGCTTCATATTTTATGTTTTGAGTGTTTGCCTAATTGTAAAGAAGTTCAATGAATTCATTGGTGCGCTTGACGTTTGACCAGCTCAACCTTTCCGCACAAAAGAGGAAGCCAATGGATGTAAGAGGGCTGGTCTTTAACGGCTGGCTGACCAGTGAGGCCACTGATGAGCAGCACTGGCACAACCAGGTTAGCAACGCAGAATCGCTGCCAGATCCCATGTCTGAGGCCGCATTTTAACAAGGTCACCAGGCTAAAGTCTGGGAAGCACTAAGAGGAGGCAGGAGGACCATAGTGTGGAGTAAAGAGCCCGACATAGGGAGCAGGGGTCCACGTGCTTGCACAGTTGCGGTATTTTGCTGATTGAGGAAGTTGGCATTTCTGGTTGAAAATTATTCACCTTTGATGAGGAGGAAAAGGGCCGGGTAGGCTTACACTGGTGTTTGCCGTGAAAGTACATCTCTGCTACGTCCATCATACAGGAGTAGATGTGCTCCTTCTTATTTTTACCCACATCCTTTGGCATACTGCCACCAGCATTGTTTAGATGCCAGCACCATGTGGGCTCACTTAGCCAGGCATCACTGGGGTTTTCACATTGACCAAGTCCCTCTCCAATAAACATCTGTGAATGTTTTCTTACATTGTTAGAAAAAGGCAGTAATGATGCGGTAGTAAAATTGGATCTTGGTATTCATTTACCACTTTCGCATGAGAAGATGACATGGAGAGCTGGTGACTGAGTGTATTTTTCAACTATTCTGGGCCCCAGTGACCTTCCTGTCGAACCACAAATTTAGAGGTTGATTGTAGGTTGGTTTTATGGCTCACGGTTCATTTGTGAGTGTTGGATATGCAGCTGTGACTACGTTGTCATCATCTAGTGTTTGTGGTAGGTTGTGGATTTTTTAAGATTAAGGACTATGACTTTTTAAAAATTTATATTTAAATTTTATTGGCATATAACATGCATATAGAAAAGAGCACAGATCTTAAGTATACAGCTTGAGGGAATACGTAAAGGTATGCACCCATGTGCCCAGCTCCTAGATCAGGAAGCAGATGATATTAGAACCGTAGGAGCTCCTCACCTCTCTCTTCTAGTCTCTACTCCCCTTTGTCCTCCCACCAGGGTAACCAAAGTCCTTGCTTCTCCTATTATAGGTTAGTTTTGCACGTAGAAGCTGTATTTTTATGTCAGAAAAAAAAATTTGATTTAAAAAATATAAACCACTAAAAGCAAATGTCCCTCAGGAAATGTACAATAGTGTAGTTACAAATTCTGTAGTCTTTGGCTTTACCTGTAAAAGTTGGAAGATTTTTCCATTTAATTTTGTCTTCTTATTTTGAAATAATTCCAAACTTAAAGAAAACTTGCAAGAATAGTATAATAAATTTTTCTCCTGAACCATTTGAGAGGAAGTTGCTGGCCAGACTGATACCTTCTCACGACCCAAATATTTTAGTGTGTCATTCCTTCACAAGAGGACATCCTTCTACATAAGGATAACTATCAAAATCAGGAAGACACCACTGATACATTATTACCATCTAATCTGCAGACACCATTCAAGTTTCACCAACAAGTCCAGGAGCTGTATTGAATTTAGTTGTCACGTCTCTTTGGTCTTCTTCAAAGTAGGCGAGTTCTCGGCCTTTCCTTGAATTTCAGGACCTTCACACCTTATAAAATTACAGGGCAGTTATTTTGTGGAATGTACCTCAATTTGAGTTTGTCTGATGTTTCCTCATAATTAGATTTAGGTAATTTTTAAAATTTTTTATTTTTGGCAGGAGTATCACAGAAGTGATGGCCTTCTCATTTCCTCCAGTAGGTGGTGCACAGTTTCAATTTGTTTTTTAATGGTGATCACTTCAATCACTAGATTAAGTGTATCTGCCAGGCTTCTTTATTGTAAAATATTCTTTTTCTCTTTATAATTAGTATTTTGTGGGAGGTTCTTGAGACTATTTAAGTATTCCATTCTGCATCAAACGTTGACCCATTACTTTTAGCATCCATTGATTATTCTCGTCTGAATCAATATTATTATGAGGGTTATCAGAGAGCGATTTTCCTATTTAATCACTCATCTACATTTATCAGTTGGCATTCTACCGTAAGAAAAACTTCCTTTTCTCTTTTTTCATCAATTAATTAACTAATTCATTTATATCAGTATAGACTCATGGATTCCTATTTTATTCATTGGATTCTAATGTTATCATTATTTATCAAATCTGTTATCATCAAGTTATCCCCAATTTGGCAGTGTCCTTATCATTCTTTGAGCCCTTTCTTACTTTCTAGATATTCTAAGCTCATCTTGTAATTTTCCTGCCATTTCTTCTGAGATCCCTGGTTCATTTTAGTGGAGAATGGTATTTAGGAATCAAATTGTGGATGCTAGGTATGTTTATCACTGTTCAGATGTCACTGCTCCCACATCCTCTCAATGGATAAAGCTAGGGGACACCCCCCACCCCCGCTGCCCCCACACGTACCCACACTCACACATACCTCTTTTACGTCTATATTTATTTTTATATCTATCTATACATATTTTGATAAGCATAAATCCATACTGATACTGATAATTTTAATCCAGAAGCACAGAGTCATTCTAGTTTTCTCTCTTCCCATATTGTAACGCCTTTTCCTGACTGTGAGAAAGTGTTTCCCTTGTCCACGCTGCGTACGCTCTGACACCCCACCCTCAACTGTGCTAATCCTCTCCTCAACCTGCTTGGGCCCCAACATCCCACGCCAGGCTGTTCCTTCTGCCCCCCTAGCCCTCCCAGCAGCCTTCCTCACCCGACGCTGGCTTTGTATTGGGCCACTGCCGCCACCTTTGTTCCCTTGCATAGCCGTCTGCCTTACCCGGCTCAGACTTCGACAGCCTGCACGGAGCTGTGTGGTGGCCCTCCTCATCCACTCCTGCTCTACTGTCCTTCCTTGCCGTCGCTGCTATTTCCCCAACCCACAACTAGATCCTCTGCTCGCCCTGCTCTGAACCTCATACTCCTCAACAGGCTGCTGTCACTGTCCCTCCACGCAGGCAGATTTCTCCATTGCCACAATCCTCCTCCCCCTGACCGACTGCAACCAGAAGCTCTCCATAATTACCCCTCAGGGCTCCCACGCTCTGGAATGCCACCTGTCATCCCCACCCATCTTGCTCAGCCCCTTCGAATAACTTTTGGCTGGAATTATTCAGGACAGAAGGCAAGGAGGCAGACTTTTTCATTAAGCACTGTAGACACAGTGCTCAGGGCCCACGATACTTTTAGGGGCCCACAACAATGTGGTAATTTTAATTTCTTTTACATTCAGAAGAAATACTGAATATAATAATAATAAAAATAATAATGAATCCAGCCTGAATTACACTTATTTTTATATCAATGCAAAATAAAATTTTTAATATTTTTTTTTGTGGAGGAAGGGAAAAGTGCCTAGGGCCCATGAGAGTTATGAGGTAGCCCTGCTGTGTCTTAGTTAGCTTTGTAGGCCCAGTTCCTTGTAGAGTTTCTGGAACATAGTATGTACTCAATAAGTATTTGTGGAATAAGTGAATGAATAAGTGGCCAAGCATTGGGGCTTATATTTCTTGTTTCTTTCATGGAAGACAAGAATAGAGTAGAGTAAATATTCATTGATGGCATGTTTACTAGAATGAGTGTTCTTTTCCCCCAGTAGTCAAAGCTATCTATATATTCATCCATTCATTCCAATATTTACTGAGCAGCTACTGAAGGCCAAGGCTCTGCTTCTTTCGTGTGTCAGTTTGGAACTGTGGAATGTCTACTTTAGTCTCAGGAGACCTGAGTGTGTCTACAGGGGCAAGGTCCTCAACTAACCAGCCAGAGTGGGGACTGAACTGGCCCCGCCTCCTTAGCAGACCACTCTAAGCCATGAGGTCCACAGGTCAGAAATGTACTAAGATAATCTTCCAGCTCCAATAACACACATTTTCCCTCTGTGCAGCCTTCTCGATACCACTGAGAAGAGCTAACTCCATCTTTTCTCAGTATGAGTCACTGTTAAAAATACACACATCGTCATAACTGGTTTAGTCTCTAGATCTGTCAGTTGATTTTTCAAATGATAATAAAATCAAGTCCCAGGTTCATGCTGAGAACTTGTCTTTATTGATGAGGGGCAATGTGAAATGGATGAGATGTTTGGAGCCAGAATTGTTTACCATGTACTATTTTTATTGGGAACTTTTTTATTCCAATCTCACTAATTTAAATGTACGGTAATTTAGACAGTGGGTAAAGTTAAATTTTCCTCTGTACTGACTATGACAGGCACTTGGCAAGCAAAATAATAACATAAACATGCTTGTATTAGGAATGCTTAATATGCTTAAAATAACATAACACTTTCAAGTACCCTCAAGTATTTTGGCATAAAAGCTTCCATTTGAACGCTTATTATGTTTTAGGTCAGCGCTTGGCAAACAGTGGCCCATGGGCCAAACCCAGCCCACAGACTGTTTTTGTAAGTCCTGTGAACTAAGAATGTTTTTAACATTTTTAAGTGGTTGAAAAAAAATAAAGAGAAGAATAATATTCTGTGATACGTGAAAATTATATTAAATTCAAGTTTCAACATCCATAAGAAAAGTTTTATTGGACTCAGCCACAGCCATTTGCTTATGTATTACCTGTGGCTTCTTTCCAATTATGAACGCAGAGTTGAGTAGTTGCACCAGAGACTATGGCCCACAAAGCCAAAAATACTTCCTATCTTAAACTTTACGCAAAAGTTTGCCTTCCTCTGTTCTAGGCACTTGGGCTGCATCAGTGAAGAAAACAAAGATCCCTGTGTTGGAGGAGGTCATCCAGAGGACGTGACTACTGGTTGACCCAATAGTGAGACCAGGGCAGTCAGAGGCTCCGTACTTCTCCACTGTCCTTGGAAGGTATGTTTGGCCCACCGTTCACAAAGCCGGAGCCATTTCAAGGACACAACCTTAAAAAAGTAATGTGTTGTTGAGACCATCTGGACAGTATATGTGGCTGAACCCTATTAGGGCCTCTATATAAACTTTTAAGATCTTGGTGCGTGAGTGCAGAGATCTGCTCGCCTTGCGGCTGCCCAAGACGAGCCTTGAGAGTAAGTTCCCTTGCTTATTAAAACTGCTACCAATCTGGAATGCTCTGCTTTTTTCTTCTGCCTCTCCTTGCACTCTGTGTAAGGGGCCAGTTTCAAATAACACCAGGGAATTCCGAAGTTGCAAAGCAATACTCTGCCCTCAGTAAACAAATTTAATAGGGGAAGACAGTAAAAAATAAACATAAGTGAATCATATTGGAATGTGGTAAATGTGATGAAAAAAAAGTAGAGCAGGGTAAAGTGGACAGGACCTTTTGGGAGGAGGAGGATGTTACAATTTAAAGAGAGCAATCAGGGCAGGCCTCAATAAAAAGGTGATATTTGAGCAAAGACTCGAAAGAGGTGAGGAAGTGAGGCGTGTGGGTGTCTGGGGAAAAGCATTCTAGCAGAGGGATAATGGCAGCTCCTCATAGGGTTGTTATGTAGATTAAATGAGTTAATACATTGAACTAAAAATAGTGCCTGGCACATGGTAAATTCTCAAAAAATAGTTCTTTTTTAGTGCCAGCTGGCTGTAGATGCTACTTTCCTCTGTGCAGTGGGCTGCTGCACTGAGTTACTCTTGGTAGGCCATCCCTGTATCGGAGAGAGGCTCTCCTAAGTTCATGGAGTCCTGATATCTTAGCTTTATCTGTCCCAGGATTAACTCTCACCCTGGGGCTTAGCTCTCAGGGACAGAGCTGCTCCCAGAGAATCATGATCTCAGGAGGTATCACATGTGTGGTCTGCATAATCGTAAAATACAGATCCAAGTCTGTCACCACACAGGCAAAGGGACTTTCCCCACATCACACAATACGTCAGCAGCAAAGCTGTAACAGACATGGAAGCTCTTGCTTCCAAGTCTAGTGCTCTCTGTCCTGGTCTGCACTCCATGCCCTGCGATAAGCCTACTCTTATATATCTTATTTCTTCCACTAAATTTTCAGTCTCTTTGTGCAGGCACCATGTCTTACTCATTTTTGTTTTCTCCTTCAGGTGCTAAACAAAAAACCAAAACTGTTGAAAGAATACTCACTACTTTAACTTGTTTGATGACACCATTTCAAATCTTAATTGCTATGTGTGTAAATCTGTCAGAAAATCCCCAAGTGGAATGGACTGTCCTTTGTTCCCCCTGCTTATCTAATACCTGGGGAGATAAGTTGTCTGACAAACTAGGGAGCTCCTAGAAAAGATCCCGGACACTTACATTTTCCAATTTCTTTATGTCGCTAAAATATCACATGAAGATCTCAGAGCATAAAAACACATTTGTGAGCTTTGGGCTTCGATGATCTCTATAAGCCCAGCAGAGGTGCCAGGCTGCTAGATAAGAGACGGCATTTCCAGGGCAAAAAATTGGGTAGATGAAGCAGGACAAATACTCGATTATCCTTTGGCTTAGTCCAAGGTGGTTCTCAAAGTGTGGTCTATGGACCAGCCGCATCAGCATCGTGTGAAAACTTGTTAGAAATGCAAATTCTCAGGCCTTACCTCAGACTCACTGAAACTGAAACTCCGGGTGTGGGGCCCAGCAATCTAGGTTGGAACAAGCTTTCCAGGTGATTGTGAGGCACACTACAGTTTGAGAGTCACTGGCCACTCTTCTATCTTTACGAATTTCTGACCAGGACTCACCCTGTTCTGCCAAGTGCCTAAGCTATGTGTTGGGTGAGCAAGGAGCTTTTTAAGTAGAACTTGGTGGTGACCTTGAGGCAGGAAAAGCTTTCTGGGGAAAGTCGAGATTGTATCACCTTTCCAGTTGGCTTAACACATTCCCTCTAACTGATGAAGGTGAGATACACACGGACATGAAGAATAGTCCAGAGCATTACACAGTTAGGTCAGGTGTTGCAATAAAGGGAGCTTTTAAGTCTTAAAATATTACCTCTGGTTGGGCTTTGGTCGCGGCTGGATATGTACACCAGCTGGGCTGTGAAAGTAATAGTGTGGAGTCCAGAAAGCTCTGCTCTGGTTTGGGCAGGCTTTTTGAAAAATCCTCATGCAAAGTGCAGAAGGCCAATTCATGGTAGGTAAAGTGGCCTCCCCAGGGTCCTATGGCAAATCAGCCTGTAGGAAATACAGGTATTAATCATTCCAACCTTGCAGGATTATGGATGTGATGCACCTTTGGCTGAGGTATGGGAAGAATAACCGAGGAACGCATCTTTGATCTATGATCAAAGACATTGACAAATTTTGCTACCCCTTCCCCTCAATATAAAATTTCTGAACACAAGAAAAGCAGCTTAGAATCTGAGACAAATGGTTAAAAAAATCTTTGTAAAGAAGCCGTGGATTTTCAAGGCAATAGTAACAAAGCAGGTGCAAGTGAACAATAAGAAATTGACAGAGAGCTTCAGCCAGCACAAGCTCTACATCAGCCACATTACAAGACAAAGATAACAATGACCTAAATAGGTCTGGCAAGCAGTTGACCACAAAATATGACATCATCAACATTTTTCGAAAAATGGATTTATTATTAAGGATGAGCCTTGCCCAAATATATAATGTACTTTGAAGCATAAACTAACAGTAGCACAAGGCCAGTTTGATTAGCAAGACCTTTGAAAGCAGAAACATGAAATAACCATTTCAGTGATGTTTAAAGTCATGTAAGCCTCCGGTGAGTATTTTAAAACATTTCACCAAACTCACTGATATATTTTCAGAAGTCATTTTGAAGTTTCTTGCTTGTAATATCAAAAGACAAAAAGGTCCATACCATTGGGGAAAAGCATATGCTTCCTGTTGAAATATAAATGTCTGAAATAAGTCAAAGGAAAAATTGCATGAAATTAAATTTCATTCTTTGTCAGGATATACTACTGGAAAACATGTGGAAAATATTGCTACATACATACAAAGGAAGAATTATCATGACAAATTACTCAGTATGGGATGCTTGTTATACAAATTAGATGAGAGCACAGATGTTTCTCACGTCTCAGCTAACGGTAAGCGCTAGAGTTTGTTTCAGCAGGGGAATTTAGGAAGAACTACATTTTTGAATGAATTACTAAAGGAAAGATATACAGATAATAATTGTATATGACTTACTTAAAACATTGTTCTATAGTCAAATTATATAATACATAGCTTTTCCCTACTTTTGAACTATCTTCTTTGGATGAGTTCTCAGAAACGCCACTCACCATTTCGTCTACTACACTGTCAACTTTTCCCCAAGGCGTGGAAGAATCTCTGGCGTGCCCTGTGAGAGCACAGGGACAGAGTCCAACTTGTGTACTCTGCTAAGGAGTTGGGACTTTATCCTGGGGGACACGAATGAGATTTTCGATTTTGGATGGTCATTGTCTGGAGGTGGCAATGAGCCCGAAAGAGGCAAGGTCAGAGGCAGGGACAGTTGGGAAGCAGCGAAGATGAGCTGGAGGACAGGTCATGGCACCCTGAACTAGGACATGGCAGATGACACAGGATGTGGAATGAAAGTGACACAATGTCAGGAATGACTCTCAGGGTTCTGGCGGTAAGTTAGGGAGCGAGAACATCTGGAATAGACTTTTGGGAATAGACCGGGGGTAGGCTGCGCTTTCAGCAGAATTGCAGTTGCGGAGCTCCCTTCCTAACATTTAGCTCTCCCCTGTCTGCAGCATCTGGCCATCCTCTCGCAACCTCTCACATCCGGGTATCCTCCCACATCCGGGTATCCTCCCACATCCGGGTATCCTCCCGCCTCCGCATCCAGGGATCCTCTTCCAGGTGCGTTAGGAGGTCTGTGCCCTCGTGCGAGTCTTTGGCTGTTCAGCCATTCTTTATGCACCCAACCTCTAGGCGTGGGACAGCACTCTCGCCTCAGTTCCTCCAGTGTCTCTTTCACGTCCTTTTCTTCCTCACTCTACCAACCAAACGTTCATTCCCTTCAGGCTCTGGGTTAGGAAAATAAAATGGCCTGACTACAGAAAGGAAACTCCAAAATTTATGGGCTTGTGATTGCAGTTCAACTATTGTGTTTGGAGTGAAATCCCTTTCTTTGAGCAGTTTTAACGGTAAGTTGTAAGTGTTTTTGTGAGACATTTGTTTATAGTTAAGAAATATGGATGGTATGGTTATAATTTTTAAATATTATACTAAATATAAGGGTTTTCCTCCTAATTTTGCCCAGTCCTTTGTATCCAAATGACCTGATTTAGCAATTATGAATGGGCTTTTCTTATATTGTTTGTCCAGTCTGAGGAAAGCCTGATACTAGAGCCCAGGCCTTCTGTCTCCAGGACTGGCTCTTTTTCTATTGCACTGTGTGTATATGCACTACGTTAATCATTTCCTTCAACGCCAAGCACTGCTTAGGCATGCTAGTTGCCCAGGATTATTACCTATTCCTTCTACCATGACATCTTAGGAAAGTATTTAAGGTGTTTGCTGCATCCTGTATCCTATCCTCAAGGATCTGTCAGCATAGGCAGGAACAAAGAAAAAACCTATTAACGAAATCAACAGGGGTATATAGAATTCCAGGGTTTTTATGAATCTAGTCCATTAAGGAGGTCATGGCTGTAGTATCAGCTGTAGTGGGTTACGATTATGGAAATCCATTTTCATTCTCCAGGTCCCATTGGTCTCTGGCATTGGCTAACATGGGGGATAAATAATGAGACAATAGGCATTATTTCTCGTGCAACTTGATATTGCCTGGGGTGCTACCCTTGTTCTGTTTGGCTTGGGAGGAAGAGCTGCCCCAAGGACTTCTTAGGGTTCTTCCTACAATGATAGCTCTTATTCTATAGGTCAGGGCCAATGAGGGCATTCTTCTGTGGTAGCCATTCTAATTTTATTCTCTTAAATTGGAGAAATAATTACAGGATATGGGAACTCCCTGGGGACTCCTATGAGGTGACATTGGGTTAGAACTCCATTTATCACCTGACTCCTTTAAGCCCCTGCTCTAACTGGTATATTCTAGAGTGGCATTAAGAGTCCTAAGGAATCAGTATTAGCCCAGGGGTTGTAGCTAACATTCCCCAAACATTTGGGGGTATTTTTAAGGTAAATGGCTACAGGTTCGTTTGGGCAAAGTTGTGAAATTAAAAGGTCCTAATGCTTGAGCATTCTGGCTTACATAAAGTATTTTTTTTGCAAAGCCTGCTTTTTACTTGTATTTTTATGATGAAAGTCACTTAAAACTATCAATTTTGTTCTTGGAGGCTCTGTGGTCTATAAGCCAGAGTTAGAGATCTTTGAGCATCAGGCTACTGATTACATATTTCATGGTAATTGCTAGTCATCCTCACTCCATTTAGGGGTTGGTTTAGACTGTCCAGCTGGGTAACCAGGGTGGTTTGGGTTAGACTGAGGAGGAGGAGCTATCTTGAATGCGGGGAGAGGGAGATGCAACTGTGGCTTTCTGTGGTGGTAGGAGGGGCGGGAGATGCAGTTAAAAAGAGGTTCCTTAAGTTAGAAATGCAGAAATAAGCGAGAATGCACCAGAGAGAGCTAAAGGGGGATTCTTTCTTTGGCTAGATCAGTATGTCTTTTTGGGTTACATTCTAGTTATGTTGGCTTAGGAGCTGTTGCTACACCTCCAAAGAGAAGAAAATGAGTTAGCTTTCTGATGTATATAGAACTACCTTGTTAGCTCAAAGATAGGTGATGCTAAGAAAATAAAAATGGAAATTTTCTTATAGGCATAGAAATGATATGGATTTTTCTTACCTTGTCATTGGCAGGGGGTCATCCAAAGCGAAGTGGGTATACTTGAATGCCACAGTAGTATCTGGAAGAAGAAACACACTGTATTTCCAAGAGTCTGTAGAAGGAAGAGTTTGAAAGTGTGATGAAATGATATCTTTACTTTTTCTTATTTTAGAATTCTCAGTCGGTGTGCATAATATACTACCATTTGTAAAAAGAAAAAAATGTGTGATGTATATACTTATATATGCACATAACACACAGGAAACTATTAAGAGGGGTTGCCTTTGGTGAGGGGGCCTGGGAATACATAGGTGTGGAGAGAGACATTTCTCACTGTATATCAGTAATTCTCAACCATTTTAGTCTTAGGATTCCTTTAACTCTTAAAAATTATTGGAGTTACCAAACAGTTTTTGTTTATGTCAGTAATATGTCTATCAATATTGACTGTATTAGAAATTAAAACAGAGATCTTAAAAATACTTATTTATTAATTCATTAAAAAATAACAATAATACACCCATTATATATTGACACAAATATATTTTTCAATGAGAAAACCCCTATATTTTCTAAAACAAAGTTCAGTGAGAAGAATGGCATTGTTTGACATTTTTTGCATATCTCTTTAATATCTGGCTTAATGGAGACAGCTGGATTCTCATATTTGCCACTGTATTCAGTCTGTTGTGATGTCACATGTCATGGAGCCTCTGGAGAACACCACTGTACACTTACAAGAGAATCAGAGTGGGAAAGGCAAACAACATCTTAGCATTATTGTGAAAATAGCTTTCATTTCAGGGAACTCTGAAAAGGATCTCAGGGACTCTGAGAGGTCCTAGGACTACACTTTCAGAATTGTTGCTGTAAAAACTCTGTTTGAATTCTGTTCCATGTGCGTGGATCAGCAAGTCAAAATACATGCAGACTTATGTATATACAAGCATCCATCCATGCATCTACATGTATAAATGGATACATTTAAAGACTGTCTCTTCTGGTCTTTCCTGAAGGCAAAAAGAAAGGTAACTGGAAGTTGCTATGAAACAAGTGCACCACAGTTTTGATGTTAATGAGACTATCTCTAGCTTAAGAAAGGAAAAGCTAATATACAGCCAATTATTTTCTGTAGTATTTATTGAGTGCTTATTGGCAGTAGGTCAAGAATTTTACATGCTTTATCTAATTTAATCCTTTCCTCAACCGTATGAGGAAGGTACTATTGTTTTCTTCACTTTATTGAGGAAGAAACTGAGACTTCGAGAAGTTCAATCAGGTGTCCAAGATCATGCAGCCAGTAGAATCTTGGTATGTCCAAACTCTAGAGCATATCACTCTCAAAAACTGGAAGCTGAATGGTTGTCTTTTTTCTTTTTTTTTTCAATTTTTAAAATTATGGTAAAAAATACATGACATAAAGTTTACCCTCTTAACTGTTTTTGAGTATAGTTCAGTAGATTAAATGCATTCATAATGTTGTGCAACCATCACCATTATTCATCTCCGTAACACCTTTCATCTTATAAAACTGAAACTCTATCCCCTTTAAACAGTAACCCCTCTTTCCATCCTTCCCCCCGGCAACCACTGTTCTACTCTCGTCTCTGTGATTTTGACTACTCTAAGTATCCCATATACGTGGAATTATGCAGTATTTGTCTTTTCATGATACGCTTATTTCACCCAACATAATGTCCTCAAGATTCGTCCATATTGCAGCATATATCAGAATTTCCTCCCTTTTTAAAGCTGAATAATATTCCATCGTAGGTATCTACCACATTTTGCTTATCAATTCATCCATCGATGGCCATTTGGTTGCTTCCACATTTTAGCTATTGTGAATAATGCTGCTATGAAGTAGATGTACAAATATCTCTTTGAGACCCTGCTTTCAGTTCTTTGTTTTTGTTTTTTTGGGTAAAATCTGAGTAAAGCCTTTGGTCAATATTACTCTACCAATGTTCTTAGTTTTGACAAATGTACCATGAATATGTTGATAGTGGGGCAAACTGGGTGAAGGGAAGTCTCTGTACATCCTTGGAACTTTTCTGTAGATTGCAAATTATTATAAAATAAAGAAATCTTTTAAAATGAATTACAAGATTTAATACTTAGTGATAAATCTACTTTAGGAAGATTCTTCTCATATGTAATCTAATCCTTACTACGCCAGTGTAAGTGCGTTTGATTTTTTTTTTGTCTATTTCCTCTAAGTCATTAAGAAACTTTGCTCTTTATTTGCCATAAAAAATGTTCTTTCATGACTTAAAATTTGAGAATAGCAAGATCTCTTCACATTTATTTGCACTTTTAGCAATTCAGACTATTTAAACCATCCAAAATTATGGTTCAACTTTAACCCCTTTATGGCCACTGAGTCCCATATTCTTTGGCAATACTGTTTTACTGGTCACATAGGCACAGCAACTTGCATCATTATGATTGGCTTTACTTATTTATTTATTTATTTTGTGAGGAAGATCAGCCCTGAGGTAACACCTGTTGCCAATCCTCCTCTTTTTGCTTGAGGAAGATTGGCCCTGAGCTAACATCTGTGCCAGTCTTCCCTTATTTTGTATGTGGGTCACTGCCACAGCATGGCTTGATGACTGATGTAGGTCTGCACCCTGGATCTGAACCCACAAACCCAGGCTGGCAAAGCACTTAAACCACTATGCCACTGGCTCAGCCCCTATTTTCTTTCAACTTATTGAGATGTCATTTACATAGAACATTATGTAAGTTTAAGGTATACAATGTGTTGATTGATACACATATATTTTTTTCTTTTAAAAAAAATATTTTTGTTGTGGTCTAAATAGTTTATAACTGTGAAATTTCAGTTGTACATTAATATTTGTCAAACACCATATAAAAGTGCCTGTTCACCCCTTGTGCCCACCCTTCCCCTCCTTCCCCCTGGTAACCACTAAATTTTCCTCTTTGTCTGTAAGTTTGTTTATATTCCACATATGAGTGAAATCGTATGGTGTTTGTCTTTGTCTGGCTTACTTTGCTTAACATGATGCCCTCAAGGTCCATCCATGTGGTTATGAATGGGACAACTATGTCTTTTTTATGGCTGAGTAGTATTCCATTGTATATATATACTACATCTTCTTTATCCAATCATCAGTCATTGGGCACTTGGGTTGCCTCCACATCTTGGCTGTTCTAAATAATGCTGCAATGAACATTGGGGTGCATAAGTCTCTTTGTACTGTTGATTTTAAGTTCTTTGGATACATGCCCAGTAGGGGGATATCTGGGTCATCTGGTAATTCTATTTTTAATTTTTTGAGAAATCCCCATAGTGTTTTCCAAAGTGGCTGCACAAGTTTGCATTCCCACCAGGAGTGGAATGCACCCACCACCTCTTTCTTTTCTCCACAACCTCTCCAACATTTATTATTTTTTGTGTTTGTGATTGTAGCCATTCTAACAGGTGTAAGATGATTATCTAAGTGTAGTTTTGATTTGCATTTCCCTGATGATTAGTGGTGTTGAGCATCTTTTCATGTACCTATTGGCCATCTGTATATCTTGTTTGAAAAAATGTCTGTTCATGTCCTCTGCCCACTTTTTGATTGGGTTGTTTATTTTTTTGTAGTTCAGTTGTGTGAGCTCCTTATATATTATGGAGATTAACTACTTATCAGGTATATGATATGCAAATATTTTCTCCCAGTTGGTGGGTTGTGGTTTCATTTTGATCTTGGTTTCCTTTGCCTTCTAGAAGCTCTTTAGTCTGATGATGTCCCACTTGTTTATTTTTTCTTTCATTTTCCTTGTTTGAGTGGACATCGTATTTGTAAAGATCCTTTTAAGGCTGATGTCAATGAGTGTACTGCCTATATTTTTTTCCAGAAGTTTTGTGGTTTCAGGTCTTACCTTCAAGTCTTTGATCCATTTTGTCTGTTTTTGTGTATGGTGAAAGATAATGATCTACTTTCATTCTTTTGCATGTGGCTATCCAGTTTTCCCAACACCATTTATTGAAGAGACTTTCCTTTCTCCATTGTATTTTCTTGGCTCCTTTGTCAAAGATTAGCTATCCATAGATGTGTGCTTTTATTTCTGGGCTTTCAGTTCTGTTCCATTGATCTGTGTGCCTGTTTTCATACCAGTATCATTGCTGTTTTGATCACTGTAGCTTTGTAATATGTTTTGAAGTCAGGGATTGTGATGCCACCAGCTTTGTTCTTATTTCTCAGGATTGCTTATGCTATTTGTGGTTTTTTCTTGCCCCATATGAATTTTAAGATTCTTTGTTCTATTTCTGTGAAGAATATCATTGGGGATTCTCAGTGGGATTGCATTGAATCTGTAGATTGCTTTAGGTAGTATAGCCATTTAAACTATGTTTATTCTTCCAATCCATGTACATGGAATATCTTTCCATTTCTTTATGTCGTTATTGATTTCTTTCAGTAATGTCTTTAGTTTTCCTTGGATAGGTCTTTCACCTCTTTGGTTTAATTTATTCCTAGATATTTTATTCTTTTTGTTGAGATTGTAAATGGGGTTGTACTCTTGAGTTCTTGTTCTGTTAGTTCGTTATTAGAGTATAGAAATGAGGTACACATATATCTTGCAAAATGATTACCACTCTAGTGTTAGCTAATACCTCCATCATATCACCTAATTACAATTTCTTTTTTGTGGTGTGAACATTTAAGATTTACTCTCTGAGGAACTTTCAAGTATATAATACAGTATTGTTGACTATTATCTCCATGGTGTACATTAGATCCCCAGAACTTATTCATCTTATAACTGGAAGGTTGTTTCCTTTGAACAATATCTCCCCATTTCCCCCACCCTCCAACCCCTAGTAACCACCATTTTATTCTCTGTTTCTATGAGTTTGATGTTTTTAGATTCCACATATGATGAGATCATATGATATTTGTCTTGCTCTGTCTTACTTATTTCACTTAGCATGATGCCCTGAAGGTCCATCCATGCTGTGACAAATAGTAGGATTTCTTTCTTTTTTATGGCTAAATAGTATTCCATTGCATATATACCACATTTTCTTTATGCATTCATCTGTTGATGGACACTTAGGTGGTTTCCATATCTTGGCTATTGTGAATATTGCTGCAAAGAACATGGGAGTGCAGTTATGTTTTTCAGTTAGTGTTTTCATTTCCTCTGGATAAATGCCCAGAAGTGGAATAGCTGGATCATTTGGTAGTTCTATTTTTAATTTTTTGAGGAAATGTCTTACTGTTTTCCATAGTGGCTGCACCAATTTACATTCCCACCAACGGTGCACAAGGGTGCCCTTTTCTCCACATCCTCGCCAGCACTTCTCTCTTGTCTTTTTGATGATAACCATTCTAACAGGTGCAAGGTGATATTTCGTAGTAGTTTTCTTTTGCATTTCCGCGATGATTCATGACGTTGAGCACCTGTTCGTGTACCTGTTGGCCATCTGTATGTCTCCTTTGGAAAAATGTCTATTCAGATCTTCTGCCCATTTTTTC